CATGTCGAGGTATTTTGGGATTTTTTGTGGGTAATTTCTCTACCTGGCTCTTATGCTGGTTTATTGTAAGAGGCTGTTTTATTTTTCTTTCAACATCTGGGTGACTGGAGGGAAATAAAGTGAAACTCCTGCAAAATTTAAACTCCTGTGGGAGTTTTCAGGCATTGGTAAAGCATTAATAAGGATTAAAGAGACAAATCAGGGGGTTGTAAATAAGATTTTTTTTTTCCTAATAATATTATGGAAAAGTTTGCCCGGTGTGTGAGTTTGGTTATTGGGTCAGTGATGAATCAGCTCCAAATGATTTCTGATTCTTTGAAAAAATAAAGGGCGCTGTAGGAATTTGTCACTGTTTCACTGGATGTCTCCCTGGTTTTTCTCCCCATTTAGAAGATGAGTTTATAAGCACAGGGCTCTTCCTCAAAGCCCCAGATAATTCCTGGGAGCAGCAAGAATCCCTCTAAGGTGTGAGCTCTGCTACACCCAGCCTGTCTAAACAAGAAAGGAACGAAAACTCTGCCATAATCTCGCAGAAAAATTATAATTTTACATTAAAAACCTCAAGCAGGATTGAGTTTAAAAACTCAAAACAGCTGCGAGGTTGTGCACGAACCCTCAGAGCTCCACAGGGCTTGGAAAAAGTTGCAAACGCCGTGTGAATGTCCCGGTTGTGGTGCCTAAATTAAGATTATTGATCAGCGATGTGGCAGTGGCGGCGCTAATGAGGGCAGCCCGCAGCAAGGCGAGCTCCAGGGAAAAGCTGGATCCGTCCTGGGCAGGAATTCTGATTGTATTCGGCAGCTGGAGCTTCGAGAGCAGCGAATGCAGCCATAAACTGGATTATTTTTCCCTTTAAAACAAGCAGCTGATGTGGCTGGGAAGGAGCTCTCACCGGAGGAGAGCTGGAGCCTTGGCAAGGCTCCACCTGCCCTAAAATTCTGGGTGTTTAATGTAGTGGTTGGTAGTTGCTGGTGAAGTGTTTGGGAAGGAGAAATTAAATCTCAGGAGCTGAGGGATGATCATGGCAACTCGGGGCAGAGCTGAGAATGGGAGCAGGGATAGGACCAACCTAAAAGTTGGTCCTGAAAAATGGAAAAAAATGAAGGAGAGTCACGTTGGATGTCAATTTTCTGTCTGTTTTTCACTTGAAAGTTCAGGATCCACTGTTTAAACAGCATAAAAGTACATTCTAGTATATAATAATATTAAAAATATAGGAATAAATCCAGCCTGAGTAACTGCTCCTGCTCTGTCCTGCCAGGATTCTGTGTTCAGCCACACGTGGGACTTCCCAGTGCTCTGAACTTCCCCAGTTTTCAGCACTTTCGCAATATTTGGCCCAGGAAGCAAAAATATTTCCTCCCACTTCATTTCACAGGGAAAAAAAGAAACAGCTTTAGGGTTTTGTTTTGAACAGCAAAACTGCAGCACAACCCAAGCGCCCTGAGAAGATTTTCACCCCAAAGGCAAACGGCAGCCCCACGGAAATTTGGTTGGGAATTTTGAATTTTGAATTTTGAATTTTGAATTTTGGATTTTGAATTTTGGATTTTGAATTTTGAATTTTGACTTTTTGACCCCGGGGACCCCTGACCCCAACGCCTGTGACTTTCCCTCTGATCTCGTGGGTCAGCTTTAATTGAGTTTAATTGAACTTCCCACGCTGAGTGCACGGTTACAGCTGGAGATGGGCAAAGCCAAGAATTGCTGGTGGATTTTTGTCCAGTTTTCAGCGGGTGCGGAAGCAAAGCTGGAGCAGAGCTGGCTGAACCCCGGTTTTGAGCACCCGATGTCCCCGCAGCACCTCCCGGGCAGCTCTCGGCTGCTTTGGGGGATTTTGTCTCGCATTCCAAGGGCTCTGCTCCCCTCTAGCGGCTTCGCTCCGCACTTCCCTTCTTATTTCTTTTTTAGATTCTGAAAAACCAAAAAAAACTGATAGGGTGGTGGTGGATTTTTTTGTTTGCTTGTTTGGTGTGGGTTTTTTTTTTTTTTTTTTTTTTTTTGGTTGGTTGGGGGGGGTTTTTTGGGGGTTTTTGGGTTTTTTTTTTGGCGTTGTTATTCAAAGTTACCTCTCAATCCTACTTATTCCACACTTTCCTTAAGTTTAATCCTCTTCTTCCCAGGCTGGTTTCTTGTTTTTAATACCCTTCGTATTTCTTTTTTAGATTCTGAAAAACCAAAAAAAACTCATAGGGTGGTGGTGGATTTTTTTGTTTGCTTGTTTGGTGTGGGTTTTTTTTTTTTTTTTTTTTTTCTTGGTTGGTTGATGGGGCTTTTTTGGGGGTTTTTGGGTTTTTTTTTTGGCGTTGTTATTCAAAGTTACCTCTCAATCCTACTTATTCCACACTTTCCTTAAGTTTAATCCTCTTCTTCCCAGGCTGGTTTCTTGTTTTTAATATACATAATATTTCTGATATATATATATATATTTCAGATACATATATTTTTCATATACATAATATTCCTGATATATGTAATATTTCTGATATATATATCTTTCTGATCTACATAATATTTCTTACATATATATTTCTGGTATACATAATATTTCCGATATATTTCTGATATATATAATATTTCTTATACACATAATATTTTGATATATATTTTTGATATACATATTTCTGTTATATATACATATAATATTTCTGTCATATATTTCTGATATATATATCTTTCTGATATACAGAATATTTCTGATTATATTTCTGATATCCAGAATATTTCTGACATATATTTCTTTCTGATATACATAATATTTCTGATATTTCTCTTTCTGATATAGATAATATTTTTATATCCAGAATATTTCTGACATATATTTCTGATATACATCATATTTCTGACATATAAAAGTTACCTCTCAATCCTACTTATTCCACACTTTCCTTAAGTTTAATCCTCTTCTTCCCAGGCTGGTTTCTTGTTTTTAATATACATAATATTTCTGATATATATATATATTTCAGATACATATATTTTTCATATACATAATATTCCTGATATATGTAATATTTCTGATATATATATCTTTCTGATATACAGAATATTTCTGATTATATTTCTGATATCCAGAATATTTCTGACATATATTTCTTTCTGATATACATCATATTTCTGATATTTCTCTTTCTGATATAGATAATATTTTTATATCCAGAATATTTCTGACATATATTTCTTTCTGATATACATAATATTTCTGATATTTCTCTTTCTGATATAGATAATATTTTTATATCCAGAATATTTCTGACATATATTTCTGATATACATCATATTTCTGACATATATAATATTTCTGATATACAAATACAGAGTTCTGATATCCAGAATATTTCTGATTATATTTCTGATATACATCACATTTCTGATATATGTCTTTCTAACACACATAACATTTCTGATAGACACAATATTTCTGATATACATCATATTTCTGACATGTATTTCTTTCTGATATACATAATATCTCTGATATACACATTTCTGATATACACATTTCTTATTTCCAATACATAAACATCCCCCGGTGTTAGGGAAGAGACTCCAAGCCTTGTCAGACCAATGAAGGGATAATTGAAGATTTTTGGGGTGGAAATAGTGCTTTTGAAATCAGGTAATTTCAGTAGCAAGAGGCGAGGGCAGGGCTGGGTTATCTGCAGAGGGTGAGGCCATCTGCTCCAGGATCGCTGTGAAATCGCCTGGCTCTGCACAGAAGTCTCCTTAAATCAGCTGGGCAGGGAGCTGAGCTGGGCAGTTTGCTTCTTTGCTGGGAAGAAAATGAGGAAAAATCCAGAAAAAAAAAAAAAAATCCCACCAGAGATGCACCCTGGTGTTGTGGTTGAGATGGTCACAACACAAAGCAACACTCCATTTTCAGAAGGTTTCAAACCTGTTTTTATTACAGCATGGATGCTTTTTATACATTCTTACAAAACTCTTCAGTTCACACTTCACTCACTGGTCAGGAGAGACAAACAAAGTGTTCATTGGAACAGGCTTATCTTATTTATCCTTCTTTCTCTCTTGGTTTCTGGGTCAGTGACCTTGGCAGGAAATTCTATCAGTGGTAAACGTGGATCCTCTTATCAAACTCCTCTCTGGCTCACAGAAGTTGCTGGAAAACTCTTCCACACCCTGGAAGTACGCCCAATATAAACCTCTGGCAGAAATAAATGCACTTTTTGTGCCATTGCACCACCATTGGGGGTGGTTTCCTTTCCTTCTTTATTTTCTATTTCTTTTTTTCTTTATTTTCTTTTTCTTTCCTTTCTTTCCCACTCTTCTTCCCTCACTTCTTCTCCTCCTCTTCTTTATCCCCTCTTCCCACCTTCCTTCTGCCTTTTGCCTCCTTTCTTCCTTCTTTCACCTTTCCTTCTCCCTTCTTTCCCCCTCTTTCCACCTTCTTTTCCCCTTCTATTCTCCCTTCTTTTCCCCTTCTTTTCCCCCTATTTCCACCTTCTATTCTCCCTTATTTTCCCCTTCTTTTCCCCTTCTTTTCCCCTTCTTTTCCCCTTCTTTTCCCCTTCTTTTCCCCCTATTTCCACCTTCTTTTCCTCTTCTTTCTTCATTCTTTCCTCCCTTCTTTCCCTCTCTTTCCCTCTTCTTCTCCCCTCTTTCCCCCTTTCTTCCTTATTTTCCCCTCTTCCCACCCTCTTTCCCCCATTTCCCTCTTCTTTTCCCCTTTTCCACCTTCTTTCCTCCTCTTTCCACCTTCTTCCCTCATTTTTTCTTCCTTCTTTCCTCCTCTTTCCTCTTCTTTCCTCCTTTTTTTCTTCCCTCATTTTTTCTTCCTTCTTTCCACCTCTTCTTCCCTTCTTTCTCAGGGCAGAAACCCAAGTTTGCTTCCCCACCCTGCCCCAGGCTTCCTTGACAAGTCACTTCCCCGGGATGTGCAGCTCCTGGAAGTGCTCAGAATTCTCTCTGGCTCACAGAAGTCACTGCAAAACCTCCTCCACACCACTCTGAAATCTGAAAATTTGGGATTTGCCTTCCAGCTTCCTGCTCTGTTTGGCTCTGCGAGGCTCAGACTGAGTTCAAGAGGGTGGCAGAAGAAAACGTGACCCTGCCGTGCCACCACCGCCTGGGGCTGCTGGAGCAGGGCAGCCTGGACATCGAGTGGCTGCTGCACATCTCCGAGACCGTGCAGAAAGCGGTGGGTTTGCTCAGAAAATCGCTTCATTTCTGCCCTCACGCCACCAGCCCAACATTTACCAGCGCTGCTGGGATGGTCTGTGCAGGTTGTTCTGATGGCGAGAGCAGGGTTTGGAAAATAAATCTGATTTGGAGAGATTTAGAAGGTGGAAAAATTGTTTGATGCAGCAGGTTGGGTTACAATGGATTTTTTTTAAAATGTATTCAGTCTTCATTAGATCAAGGTCAAAAGTGCCCTTCAGGCTTTCAAAACAACCTTGGGTTTTGCAGGCCCAGTTTTCGAATCCTTGCTTTCAGTACAACACACAGTAGTTTAGTCCTTATAAAAATGAGGTCTGCAGGGACTTAAATTAGCACAGCCAAGCCTCCAGACTGCTTTGATGTGTTGTGGCACCAACTGATGCTTGTTTTTACACTTGTACAAGTGCCCAATATAAACCTCCAGCAGAAATAAATACATTTTTTGCATCATTCTCAGGGCAGAAACCCAGATTTGCTTCCCCACCCTGCCCCAGGCTTCCTGTGTGACCATTGATAAATCACTTCAGTGGGATGTGCAGCTCCTGGAAATGCTCAATTTGTTGTTCCATGTGAAAACAAAACAGCTCAGTGTGTGCTGTGCTCCCAGGTGATCACCTACTCCGGGGGCCGTGTTTATGATGACCTGAACGAGGAGCAGAAGGGCCGTGTCTCCTTCACCTCCAACTTCCTTGCTGGAGATGCATCCCTGCAGATCATCTCCCTGCAGTCCAGCGACGCAGGGAAATACATCTGCAAGGTCAAGAACGCTGGCCAGTACGAGTGGGCTCGCATCACCCTCAAGGTCGTGGGTAAGGACAGCTCCTTGTTCTCCCAAAGGGGAAAAAAGGAATCCAGGCTCGCTTCCTGGGGAGAGATTGGTTTCAGCAGGGTATAAATACACAAAGACACCTCAAGATTGGGTTTCAGTGCTAAATTTTATACCTGGCTTTGCGTTTTTTTGGCCACAGGAAGAGCCTAAAGAACTGGTGTGATAGCACTGAACTAAATACTGAACCCTAAAACATCATCTCAGGCACAATGAAAATTTCAAGTTCCCATCTGGTTATGTCTTTAGTAGGTTTCAGCCTAGCACAAAGACACCTCAAGATCAGGTTTCAGTGCTCAACTTCATACCTGCCTTTGTGGTTTTTGGGCACAGGAAGAGCCTAAAGGACTGGTCTGAGGTTGGTGTGACAGTTCTGAACTAAATAGTGAATCCTAAAAAAAATCATAAGGATCTCAGGCACAATGGCTTCTTCAGGAAAATACCGAGGTTCCCATCTGGTAATGTCTCTAGTAGGTTTCTACCTAGCACAAAGACACCTCAAGATCAGGTTTCAGTGCCCAACTTTATACCTGGCTTTGCATTTTTTGGCCATTGGAAGAGCCTAAAGAACTGGTGTGATAGCACTGAACTAAACACTGAACCCTAAAACAAATTCATAAGGACCATCTCAGGCACAATGGCTCCAGCAGGAAAATACCAAGGTTCCCGTCTGACTGTGTCTCTAGATGGTTCCTGCTCAGTGATTCCAGACCTGTCATTTGCCAGAGTCGTTCCTCTGTTCATCTCTCTTCCTGGCAGCAAATTAGTCCACAAAGAGGCACAAAAAGCCATTCTTTGCAGAGGATGGCTGTGATCTCCTCGCCCAAAGCAGGCTGATATCCCGTCTCAGCTGGCCACCACCCTGCCACCCTGCTGGGCTCTGGCACGGCACGTCCCAGCAGCAGGGCTGACCCCAGCCCGAGGGGTGGCACAGGAGCAGCCGGGGGTGGCATTTCCCTCCCTGATTCCAGCTCATTGCTCTGCACACTCTCTGTGATCCCCTGGAAGGATCCTGCAGCTGCCAGGGCAGAAGGAAGAACTGGAGAAGGGAAGGGAGGGAAAAATGTTCTGGAAATTGTGCCTGGAAGAGGAAAGTGGTGATAGAGCTCCAAGGGACCATGAGGCAAAGAGTGTGAGAATGTCACTGCTGTGGCTGAGGCAGCCAGATCCTCCAAAACACACCTAAAACCCTAAAAACCTTCTGTTGTGTGCCCTAGAGGGGAAGGGAAGGGAAGGGAAGGGAAGGGAAGGGAAGGGAAGGAAAAAGAAGGACTAAGGAGAAAGGAAGGGGGTTTAGTCCCCTACAACATCGGATCGGTGTGATTCCCTAACTCATTCCATGGAAGGCAGCCCTTGGAAGCTGTTTATTGCAAGGGAAGGGAAGGGAAGGGAAGGGAAGGGAAGGGAAGGGAAGGGAAGGGAAGGGAAGGAAAAAGAAGGACTAAGGAGAAAGGAAGGGGTTTTAGTCCCCTAAAAACCATCATCGGTGTGATTCCCTAACTCATTCCATGGAAGGCAGCCCTTGGAAGCTGTTTATTGCCAAAGGAAGGGCTTCCAGTGAGCAAACTCTGCCGTGATGCCATGACCTGTCTTCTCCTTCTAGAGAAACCCTCCAAGCCCAAGTGCTGGCTGGAGGGGGAGCTGCTGGAAGGGAAGGAGCTGTCCCTGCAGTGCCGCTCCGCCTCGGGCACGGCCCCCATCTCCTACCGCTGGCAGCGCCTCAGCGAGGAGGACGAGAGAGCCGAGCAGCTGCCGCCCAACTCCAGAGTCAGTGAGTCGGGGCATGGCTTCTCCCGAGCTCCGGGATCACCGGGTGATGCTCCAGCACTCCTCCCGCCGCTGCGGCTGCGCCTGGGGGCTGATCTTCCTTTCCTCCTTCTTCTCCCTTCTTTCCCCCTCCTTCTCCCGAGCTCCGGGATCACCGGGTGATGCTCCAGCACTCCTCCCACCGCTGCGGCTGCGCCTGGGGGCTGATCTTCCTTTCCCCCTTCTTTCCCCCTCCTTTCTCCTTCCTTTCCCCCTTCTTCTCCCTTCTTTCCCCCTTCTTCCCCCCTTCTCTCTCCCTTCTTTCCCCCTCCTTTCTCCTTCCTTTCCCCCTTCTTTCTTCCTTCTTTCTCCCTTCTTTCTCCTTTCTTTCCCCTCCTTTCTCCCTTCTTTCCTCTTCCTTTCTCCTTTCTTTTTCCCTTCTTTCCCCCTTCTTCCTCCTTTCTTTCTCCTTTCTTGCCGATCCTTTCTCCTTTATTTCTTCCTTCTTTCCCCTCCTTTCTCCATTCTTTCCCCTCCCTTCTCCCTTCTTTCCCCCTCCTTTCTCCTTCCTTTCCCCCTTCTTTCTCCCTTCTTCCTTCCTTCTTTCTCCCTTCTTTCTCCTTTCTTTCCCCTCTCTTTCTCCCTCATTTTCCCTTTCTTTCTCCTTTCTTTCCCCTCCTTTCTCCCTTCTTTCCTCTTCCTTTCTCCTTTCTTTTTCCCTTCTTTCCCCCTTCTTCCTCCTTTCTTTCTCCTTTCTTGCCGATCCTTTCTCCTTTATTTCTTCCTTCTTTCCCCTCCTTTCTCCATTCTTTCCCCTCCCTTCTCCCTTCTTTCCCCATTTTTCTTCCATCTTCCTTCTTTCTCGTTTCTCCCTGCTTTCCCCCTTCTTTCTCCCTTCTTTCTGCCTTTTTTCTTCCTTCTTTCCTCCTTCTTTCTCCTCCTTTCCCCCTTCTTTCTCCCTTTCCACCTTTTTTCTTCCTTCTTTCCCCCTTCTTTCCCCCTTCTTTCTTTCTTCTTTCTTCCTTCTTTCCCCTTCTTTCTTCCTTCTTTCCCCATTTTTTCTTCCTTCTTTCCCCCTTCTTTCCTCCTTCTTTCTTCTTTCTGCCTTTTTTCTTCCTTCTTTCCTCCTTCTTTCTCCTCCTTTCCCCCTTCTTTCTCCCTTTCCACCTTTTTTCTTCCTTCTTTCCCCCTTCTTTCCCCCTTCTTTCTTTCTTCTTTCTTCCTTCTTTCCCCTTCTTTCTTCCTTCTTTCCCCATTTTTTCTTCCTTCTTTCTCCCTTTTTTCCCCCTTCCTTCCCCCTTCTCCCTCCTTTCCCCCTTTTTTCTCCTTTCCTTCCCCCTTGCCATCATTCTGGAGCTGGTTTCACCCCACAGATCGGTTTGTTCCTCTGTGCACCCCCACAGCCGAAGTTCCTCTCTCCATGTCACTAACCCCGGCGGTGTTTCCCCCCCTCCCAGACATCTCGAACCCGGGGCAGGTCCTGCTGAAGAACCTGACTCAGATGAGCACGGGTTTGTACCAGTGCGTGGCCACCAACGAGGCGGGGCAGGAGAGCTGCGCGCTGCAGGTGACGGTGCAGCGTAAGTACGGCAGGGACAGCACCCAAAACAGCCAGTCTGGGTGGGCATGGGCAGGGATATCACCCAAAACAGCCAGCCTGGGTGGCCCCGGGCAGGGACATCACCCAAAACAGCCAGCCTCGGTGGGCATGGGCAGGGACATCACCCAAAGCACCCAGCCTCGGTGGGCACGGGCAGGGACATCACCCAAAACAGCCAGCCTGGATGGCCCCGGGCAGGGACATCACCCAAAACAGCCAGCCTTGGTGGCCTGGGCAGGGACATCACCCAAAACAGCCAGCCTCGGTGGCCTGGGCAGGGACATCACCCAAAAACAGCTGGCCTTGGTGGCCACGGGCAGGGACATCACCCAAAACAGCCCAGCCTCGGTGGCCTGGGCAGGGACATCACCCAAAATACCTGGCTTTGGTAGCCATGAAGGACACAGGGGAGTCCTGCGACTTCATTCCAACCAAGGGAGAGGCCATGAGGTATTTCCCATGGGGTTTATCAGATTTTTAGGGGATGCAGCCTGCTTTTTATCCTGATTTCCCAGCCGCATTTCCCTCTCTTTTCCCCACTGGCTGAGGGACTTAAGAGGTTCAGACTTCCCAAATCTCCTAATGCAGACCCCCCTCTAAAGTGTGCCCTCCTTTTCCTTGTGTCAATCAATGTTTGTAACAGACCCAGACATCTAAAGTGGTAAAACCATCAGCTGGGCTGCCATTCCAATTTGGAATTCCTATGGAATTTCTGGTTCTTCCCATTGTTTCTTCCATCTCTCAGTATCCAGTTTCATTTACCAGCACACCCACAGTTTGTTTGCAAAGACAAATCTCTCTCATCCTTTCCATCCATTCATCAACTGAATCCTTCCCTTTGTTTCTGTTATCTCTCAGTGCTGGGTTTATCTCCCAGCAGACCCACAGCTTGCTTGGAAAGACAAGTCAAAGAATTCACAGAATTTACAGAATTCACAGAATGACCAGGCTGGAAGAGACCTCCAAGATCATCGAGTCCAGCCCAGCCCCAGCAGCTCAACTCAACCCTGGCACCCAGTGCCACATCCAGGCTTTGTTAAACACCCCCAGGGATGGTGACTGCACCACCTCCCCGGGCAGCCATTCCAGAACTTTATCACCTTTCTGGGAAAAACTTCTTCCTGATTTCCAGCCTGTGGTTCCCTTGGTGCAGCTGGAGGCTGTGTGCTCTGGTTGTGTCAGTGCCTGCAGACAGAGCCCAGCCCCAGCTGAGCACAGGCACCTTTCAGGAGCTGTGCAGTGATGAGTCCCTCATTCCTCTCACCCAGAACCCTGTCCCTGCTCCATGGGGGACCTGCTGCCTCCCAGCTCTCCCACCTGGAAAATTCCGTGCTGCTCCTTTGCCCTTTCATACTTTAATCCCACAAAACAGCTCTTATTCATTGCATTTTTGATTCACACAGCAGACCTCACATAAAACAACATCACAACCTGAGCCCAGATGATGGTTTTATCACTTCAGATGTCTGGGTCTGTTAGAAAAGTTGATTTTCAGAATGATTTATGAAACACAAGCAGGGAAAATGGTAAGTTAGGGGTTGCTCTGGCTGGCGTGATTGCATGAGGTGACTCTCAGGGATGAATTCTCTCTGTGGGTATTCCACCACCCCAAATTATGCACTGCGCTTGGGACAGCAAAATACCTAAAGGCAGTTAGAAAGACATTGACTAATTTGCAAGATAAAAAGTAACTTTTGACATCATTTAATCGGGTTTAGCCATTTGTGTCCTGAACAGCAGAGGTCAGAATCGCCTGAGGAAGCCCTCAAGGGTGTGTGCAGCCAGGCCGGGTGTCCTCTCCATCTGCATACCAGGAAAGGGTGGAGTTTATCACCCAAAGCCAAACAATGGAGCCCAGCAGCTCTCCAAGCTGGACCTGCTGTGATAAGACTCCTAACAAAGAAGGCTCCTCCTGGAGATTCCACAGCTTTGGAATTTTTCTGCCCAGCCAAGCCTGAAATAACTGGAATATGGAATAAGGAAAACCGGTTTGCCTCAGGCATGTGAAGCAAAAGCGTCCAGGCAGCTTTTATGGCAATTGAACTGAACTGGTTTAAAACCTCACTTGGCTTTGCTAAACCCTCCTGAGGGACTGAGCTCAAGGAAACACCTTTCAGCCAAGCCCAGCCTGAGCACTTTTATCCAAAAAGGCGGTCATAAACCATCAGCAAAGGGCCCATAACCCATGGGAAATGCTCTCTCATTACCTGGCTGCTTTGGATGAAAAATGCCCTGCCCAGGATGGTTTCCTCTCCTGCTTTCTCTGCCTCAGTCAGGTCTCTATTTCTCCACATTTGAATAATTAATTTCAGAATAAGGCTGTAATCACTCAAGGGGAGTTGAAGGGGGGGTAAAAATCCTCATGGGAAACATTAAAATATTAAACATTCCTCTGCCACCACCTCTGCCTTGGGTGCTGCCCAGTGCCATGTTCCACACGGGGGCTGCCCTGTCTTTGTATTTTCCGTATTTTTACACCCTTAGAAAGGGATTTTTCCTCCTTATTTCAACCCTGCCCCACAGCTGAAGGCACAGCCCTCGTGGTTTCCCCTTTGCAGAGGTGACAGCTCCTCTCCCTGCCAGCTCAGCCTGGCTGCAGATAAACTGGTTCAAGAGACACACCTAAAAAAATAAAACTCCAACGTGCTGTCCTGAGTGCTGGGACTTGTAGGATGGACCAGAACCTCACCAATCAATTTGGTTTTTGGACAACAGATGCACAAAACATCAGCATGATCGCCGGGGCAGTGTGCGGAGTGGTGCTGGGGCTCTCCCTCCTCTTCCTCGTGGTGAGGCTGACCATCAGGAGGAAAGAGAAGAAGAGGTACGAGGAAGAGGAGGCACCCAACGAAATCAGGTAACGCCTTTTGCTTCATCCCACCTCCCAAGCTCCCTCCCCTCTTTGCACAGCGGTTTGAACAAAAAAACAAACAAACAAACAAACAAACAACAAAAAAAAAAAAACAAAGAAAAAAAAAAAAGAAAAAAAAGCGGTAAGCAGCTTTAAGTGTCTGCAGAGCTCGCTCTAAAAAACTTTCCCTCTAAAAACTTTTAAAGTCTCTGCGAAATGCCACTGACAAATTTCTTGACTGTGAGAAGCTTGGTGAAAACTCCCCAGAAAATCAGATTAAAATCACCCGGCAAATCAGCACAGACCTCAGCCAACTGCTTGCTCTCACATTTGTAATTTCGGTACTTTGAAGCATTTGCATATTCTTTTATGGTGTTAAACTGAAGCCACTTGTCCGTTGTGGTTCTGAGAGGGATTGGGGGTAGTTTCCTTTCCCTCTTTCTTTTCTATTTTTTTTTTATTTCTTTTTCTTTCATTTCTTTCCCCCTCTTCTTCCCTTCTTTCCTCTCTTCTTTCCCTCTTCCTTCCTCCCCTTTTCCCTTTCTTTCTTCCTTCTTCCCCTCTTCCTTCTCTCTTCTTTCCCCCCTTTCCACCTTCTTTTTCTTCTTTCCCCTTCTTTTCCTCTTTTCCTCCTTTCTTTCCCCCTCTTTCCTTCTTCTTTTCCCCTCTTTCTACTTTCTTTTCAGCTCCTTTCTTCCCTCTTTCCCCTTCCTTCTCCCTTCTTCTCCCCTCTTTCCACCTTCTTTTCCCCTTCTTCCCCCCTTCTTTTTCCTCTTCTTTCTTCTGTCTTTCCTCCCTTCTTTCCCCCTCTTTTCCCCTTTCTACCTTCTTTTGAGCTTCTTTCTTCCCCCTTTCCCCTTCTTTCTTCTTTCTTTTCTCCTCTTCCACCCTTTCCCCCATTTCCCTCTCCTTTCCCCCCTTTCCACCTTCTTTCCCCTTTTCTCCTCTTTCCACCTTCTTTCCTCATTTTTTCTTCCTTCTTTCCTCCTCTTCTTCCCCTCTTCTTTCTCCACTCTTCCCACCTTCTTTCCTCCATTTCCCTCTTATTTTCCCCTTCTTTCCTCCTTTTTTCCTTCCTTTTTCCCCTTTCCCCTTTCAGCTGCAGCTCCTGTTTGTCACACACAGCCGACACTTTCCCCGAGCCCTCCCTGAGCTTTCTGAACAACTGTTCCCCTGGATTTAGCTCGGGGTGAGCAATTCCCCAGGCACGGAGGGGAGCAGGAGAACGACTCCTGTTCCTGGAGCTCATCTGTTCCTGCCCTGAGCTCCCCTAAGCTGAGCTGGGCCTCCAGCCAAGCCGGCCTAAACTCCTCAGGAAGGAAAGTGCTGGAAAGATCTATTTCCAGGAGTGGCTCTGAGCTGCTGCTGCCCTCCAAGAAACAGAGCCTTGATCCATCTTTACGTTTATCTGTGTGGGCACCTGGCCTCGGGTGACATCTGCACCACCAGGCACCTCTGCAATCCCCTGAGCTTCCCCTTCTTTTTCATCTTCTTCCCCTTCTTTTTCATCATCTTCTTCCCCTTCTTTTTCATCTTCTTCCTCCTTCTTTTTCAGCTTCTTTCTCCCTTTTTACCCTCCCCCTCTTTTTAAACTTTTCCCCCCTTCTTTTTCCTCTTCTTTCTCCTCTCTTTCCCCTGCTTTTCTCCCTTATTTCCCCCTTCTTACCCTCCCCTTCTTTTTCATCTACTTCCCCCTTTTTTATCTTCTTCCCCCTTCTTTCTCTTTCTCCCTTTTTACCCTCCCCCTCTTTTTAAACTTTTCCCCCCTTCTTTTTCCTCTTCTTTCTCCTTTCTTGCTCCTGCTTTTCTCCCATCTTTCCCCCTTCTTACCCTCTCCTTTTTCACCTTCTTCCCTCTTCTTTTTCCTCTTCTTTCTCCTCTCTTTCCCCTGCTTTTCTCCCTTATTTCCCCCTTCTTACCCTCCCCTTCTTTTTCATCTACTTCCCCCTTTTTTATCTTCTTCCCCCTTCTTTCTCCCTTCTTTCCCCCCTTCTTTTTCCTTTCTTTCTCCCTTTTTTCCCTCCCCTTCTTTTTTATCTTCTTCCCCCTTCCTTCTCCCCTTCTTTTCCCCTTTCTTTTTCCTGTCTTTCCCCCTTCTTGCCCTCCCCTTCTTTTTCATCTTCTTCCCTCTTCTTTCTCCTTTCTTTCCTCCACTTTTCTCCCTTCTTTTTAATCTTCTTCCCCCTTCTTTTTCCTCTTCTTTCCCCCTTCTTTCCCCTGCTTTTCTCCCTTCTTTTTCCTCTTCTTTCTCCTTTCTTTCCCCCGCTTTTCTCCCTTCTTACCCTCCCCTTCCTTTTTCTCTTCTTCCCCCCTTCTTCACACAGGCATTCTCCGCTGCTTTCTTCCCTTTTCCCGTTTCCTTTCCAGCTGGAGCCTCTCCTTTATCCCCTTTCCCGCCTGCCTGTTCCATGCTGCCCCTCCCTCTGTCCCTCTGTCTGTCCGGACCCGCTCGTGGCGCTTCTCCCGGCACCCCGGGCTGGTTGGAAGCGGCAGAACCGGTTTCAGGCAGCCTTGCCCGGGCCATTTGTGCTCTCAGGATCGCAGAGCACACACTCTGCTCGCTCGGAACTTGCTGTTCGCTGCACACACAGAGCTGTGAGCAGTGTTTTTATTCCAAATTCATTTCCCAACACTCTGGGGAGTTTAATCCATCGAGTCACGCAGCGGAGAGTTTGGACAATTTGCAGGACATGACATTAAATTCCCCACTTCTTTCCCCGACCTCAGCCGACTGCTTTCTCTCACATTTGTAATTTCGGTATTTTGAAGCATTTTGCATATTTTTTTATGGTGTTAAATTAAAACTGCTTGTCCGTTGTGGTTCTGAGAGGGATTGGGGGTGGTTTTCTTTCCTTCTTTCTTTTTTTCTTTCTTTCTCCCTCTTCTTCCCTTCTTTCCCATTTTTACCCTTCCCTTCTTTTTCCTCTTATTTCTCCCATCTTTTTCCTCTTCTTTCCCCCTTCTTTCTCCTTTTATTTCCTCCTTCTTTCTCCTTTTATTTCTCCCCTTTTCTGTTCTTTCTCCTTTCTTCTTCCTCTTCTTTTCTTTTTTCCTCTTCTTTCTCCCTTCTTTTTCCTCTACCTACCCCTTCTATTTCCTCTTCATTCTCCCACTTTTCTCCCTTCTTTCCCCCTTCTTACCCTCCCCTTCTTTTTCCTCTTATCTCCCCCTTCTGTTTCCTCTTCTTTCCCCCTTTTTCCCTCCTTTTCCTCTTCCTCCTCCCATTCTTTCCTCCCACTTTTCATCTTCTTCCACCCCCCCTTTTCCTCTTCCTCCTCCCATTCTTTCCCCCCCTCTTTTCCCCTTCCTCCTCCCATTCTTTCTTCCCACCTTTCATCTTCTTCCACTCCCCCTTTTCCCCTTCCTCCTCCCATTCTTTCCCTCCCCTTTTCCTCTTCTTCCTCCCATTCTTTCCTCCCACTTTTCATGTTCTTCCACTCCCCCTTTTCCTCTTTCTCCTCCCATTCTTTCTTCCCTCTTTTCATCTTCTTCCACCTCCACTTTTCCCCTTCCTCTCCTCTTCCACCTCCCATTCTTTCCCCCCCTCTTTCCCCCTCTTTCCCCCTCTTTCCCCCGCTCCCAGCCCCGATCCCCAGCGGCTCCCCGGGCTCTCCCCGCGCTGTCTCACCCCTGTGCCCGTTCCCTCGCAGGGAGGATGCCGAGGCACCCAAGGCGCACCTGGTCAAACCCAGCTCCTCCTCCTCGGGCTCGCGGAGCTCCCGCTCGGGTTCCTCCTCCACCAGGTCCACAGCCAACAGTGCCTCCCGCAGCCAGCGGACTTTGTCCACCGAGGCCACCCCGCACCTGACCCCTCCCCAGTACAGCCAGCGCCAGCTGGACAGGAAAGAAGAGCCCAAAAAAGTCGATTCCAACCCGCTGGCGAAGGTGGCGGTGCCCGCCGTGATGGTGCCCGCACAGAGCCGCGCCTTCCAGACCGTGTGACATCCCCGGAGCCCCGCGTCCCCTGTCCCCAGCGCCACTGTCACAGCACCGGCCACTTCGCAGCGCCAGGGCAGCCAGCTCTCCTCGTGGGCAGCCCCTTCCTCATGGGCAGCCCCTTCCTCATCGCTCGGGGTTGTTCACGCCCTCCCACTCGCTTCTTTCTGAGCCTCACCGAGGCTCTGCTGCAGATTTGAGAAGGATTTCTTGGAGCTTCTTTCTAAATTATCTTTTTTTTTTCTTTGAAAATAGAACACTGAGCGTTAAAAACCTACGACGGCAAAGCTGTGCTGTCGAGTGAAACTGTGTGAGTGAAAAGAAGCCAAACCTCAGGGTTTTTTCAAAGGGATCAACAAAGACTTAAAGATGCATAATATTCCAGAGAGGTTTTGTGGGGAGGGAGAAGTCTCTCGGACTGTTTTTGGAGAAGTTTCTCGAAGATGTGTTGTCTTAAGTGAAGATTTTTGAGGCTGAGGGTGTCCAGCCTCAAAGGGAACCGACAGGTGCTTCACATTTTCTGCATTCAGTGAAATACTGGAGGCTGCAACTAAAGTGGAAATTAAAGGATCACTCCCAAAGGACAAGAAATGCAATATTAACGCGTCTGAACTAAACTCCACTAAAGAGAAAAGACCTTTATTGTCAAGAAAACAGAGGTGCTTTAATTGCCAGAATAAATTTAGGGCCAGGAGCCTGACTCTGCTTCCATGGGAGCCCCACTGGAGGGGTGCCCGTGGCTGCTGAGCCTTAGAGAGAGGAGAAGTGGGCACAGAACCCAGCAGGGAGCAGTGAAATGGGCACTGCACCCAGCAGGGAGCAGTGAGATGGGCACTGCACCCAGCAGGGAGCAGTGAGATGGGCACAGAACCCAGCAGGGAGCAGTGAGATGGGCACAGAACCCAGCAGGGAGCAGTGAGATGGGCACTGCACCCAGCAGGGAGCAGTGAGATGGGCACTGCACCCAGCAGGGAGCAGTGAAATGGGCACTGCACCCAGCAGGGAAGGCCACCAAGGCACCAAAAAGCCAGGATGGAGCGTTGGAAGAGCTCTGGGTCACTGCCAGCTGCAGAACTGGCCAGGTTTGGGGGGAGCTGTGCTGGAGAAGCCTCATGGAAAGCTCTTCCCGAGACTGAGTGACCAGCACTGCCCAGCTGACGCCCAGGGAGGCCTGAAGGGTTCCCTGGCAGAGGAAAACACACCTGGGACAGGAAAACAAGGACAAAACGCTGCTCCCATCAGGACATTCTGTGTGTGCTGTCCCACTCCTCCACCAAACACTGGGCCATGTGCCAGGGCTGAGGCTTAAACCTTTAGCAGGACTCTTAAAAAATGGCAAGAATTGTAAAAAATATTTTTTTGTGAGCAAGCAGGTTAAGTGTTTCCACGGAATATGAAGTTAGGAAAGGACGGGAGGCAGGGACAGAAGCAGAATTCTGTCGCTGATGTTTTCCTCTGAAGGACTTGGCTCTGACCACTGCTACACACAAGACACTGAGCTTGTAGGTTCTAGATTCCTGTATTCCTGCACTGGTGATTTGCCGTTTCAAAAATGAGGGTTTTTGGGGTTTTTTTCCCCACTGGAGGGAGGGAAAGGGTTTCTCCAATTTGTGGAAGATGGATGAGCACAGAAGAACCACAGATCTATAATTCTTTCACTCCAGGATTGCCATTTATCTCCTTTTCTGAGACCCAGAATTCTTGAGATCTTTGATGAGCTGATCAAAGCCAAGCCCTGATCGGGCTACTTCCATATGGGAAAGAGTTTCCAAACTTGCCCTACACTATGTTAGAACTTCTCTTCCTAGGAGCAGTCACAATTCCATTTCTCTGCCCCAGATCTAACCCCTGGCAGGCCAAATTCCTGATGCTGTGCAGGGAAAACAATCCCAGTTTCAATAAGGGAGGCCTGGCACGAGGTGTTTGATAACTGGGGTGGATATTCTGTCACTTCACCCTGGACGCTGCAGGATCCATCCTGGATCAGCCGGGTGGGAAGCAGCAGCTCTGTGGCTCAGGGATTCCTCTGCAGATGGTTTTATCCCGAGCCCTGAAGGTTCAGGAGCTCCAAAGCACTCCTGAGCCACGCCAGAGCTGGGAAAATTCCAGAAGCAGGCACGGCATGGTGAAAGCAGCTTGTGGGTTCTTCTGTGGGCTGAACATTCCCTGAGTGATGGGTTTCTGCTCCAGCCAGGTTTTAGGAGCTCTAAAAGAACTTAGCCCAGCTACCCCAAACCAGCAGCATGGCTTCTGAGGTGGGGTTGGAAACAGAAAAAGGTTTAATAAAAGACAAAATAACAAAGCTCTTACAGAGAAAACCTGACCCAGGGGCAAGAGGTTCTTGCTCCTGCTAAAACACCCCACAAAAATGGTTATTTCCTTTATTCCCTTCTGGTTTTAGTGAATTACCTAGGCCAGACCTCTTGGCCTCTGTCCACTCAGCCCCAGTTCTAAGCTGAAGTCCAAAAGGTCCCATGAGATGTCTTTGTGCCAAATTGGGAGAGAATATTCTAGGCCTTTTGCCTCTTTAAGCAGACAAAGAATAATTTCATCACTCTGTCAGCAGAGGGAACATTCCCACAGCTGAGGATCCCCACCCTGAGACCCAGGAGCGCTTTCCCCGAGCCTCCAGGAGCTCTCACCACAAACCCGGGTGACAGTCCCAGCAGCTGAGCTGCCCAAAGCCTCTGGGGCACCTTTGATCCCAGCCCAGATGGTAATTAGCAGAGAGGAGCCTCTGCAGCCTGCAGGGAGCAGAATTTGCCCTGGCAGGATTTCCTGGAGCCTCTGCCGCTGCAGAACTTGTGCTGGCAGGGCTGAGAGAGGGTCAGGCAGAGGGGCAGAGGCTGGAGCCTGCTCTGGGGGATCCATCCTGGCTGCCCCAAGCCCTGCTGGCTCGGAATTCCCAGCCTGTGCAGGGACCTTCCACTCACAGGCAAGGGGAAAGCTCACCACCAAAGGGAGCAGGAGAAAGGGAGCATTCCAAAGGTTCTCTCTTTTCCAAGCTCCAGCCCAGCAGGAGTTGCACAAGGGAAGCAAACAAGCCAAACCCTGTTTTGTAAAATAGTGTATTAAAGCATTTGCTGCCATGTACCAGCTGTTAATTGTGTGATTAAATGCCTACCATGTAATGTAGCTTTTTGTTTCTCAGCAGCTGAGCTAAGCTTCCATCTCTGCTACCTGCTAGCATTGGTGTGCTTGTACTGTGTCTGAACAACTCAGAGGAAAGCAAATATTTATTATTGATTCCTTTGAATCAATGATTTAATAATTTTTTTTTGGTTGGCTGTTTTATAAATAAAGGTGCTGCAGCTGAAGCGCTGCAGCTCAACTCAACTCGTGCCATTTTCTGTGGTGTTTCACAGAAAACCTGTTCCTCATGGGTTTCATGCTGTCAAGCTGAATCCAAGGGGGAAAAAAAAAAGGATGGAGTTAAAAATACCATTTTTAAGCTCAGCAGGCCTATGTGCACATTTGCATGGGAAGCGTGGGGAAGCTGGGCTTCTTTTCCTGGGTCTTTTTCAGTCTAAATTAGGTGACATTTCACAAAAGACGTGAAACCCTGGGTGATGCATGCTAGCAAATGTGGTTTTATGTGGGGATAAACCCCAGATATTTGGGTGCATCTGGGATATTTGGGTACCTGGGATGTTTTGGCTGAGGATGCAGGTGCTGGAAGCCAACCTGGTAAATAAATAATGGCAGCACAACAACCCCTGGTGGCCTCATCCTCGCCCTGCTGTGACCTCCCTGCTGAACCAGCCCACGTGCTGGGCTCTCCTCATGAGCTCCGAGGTGAGGAGGAAACCTTGAGCTGTGCTCAGAGCTCAGATCTCTGCAGATAAACCTTTGGAGGCAGCTGGGGCTGGCATTTCGGGGAGCTAAAGGTGCCCTGCTTGGTTTCTCTCCCAGCCTTCTCTCCCCCCAGGGTGTTCAGGCATCACCAATCCTCCCTGCTGAAATGTGGGAGCAAAAATTGCGACATAATTAGTATTTAAAACAGAGCAGGGTGACAACAGAGTGGTCCCACAGGTGTGGCCTGTCTGTCCCCACTGGAGCTGATGACATTAAAAACCCTGGTGAGGTTCAGGGAGGAGCTGAGCAGTCGCAGACTTTCGTACAGGATCAGGAATTTGGGGTTATTTTTAACCCGGAGCAGTTTGTCCCGACACGCTGAGAGGGGGGAACCCTGTGGGAAAGGGAAGGGAGGGCCTTGGGAAGGGGTGATTTTCAAACTTCAGCAAATGCAAGTGTTATATAAATAAATAAGTGCTGCTGTGGTGAGCAGCAGGAATGCCTTTGATAATCTCCCTTCTCCTCCCAAGTCTGTTTTAAACACTGAAAGGAAAAGCAGTGCTAGATCCTTGACACATTAAATTCACTCCCAAAAATAAGGTTTCAATCCATAACTTAAAAAAAAAAAAACAAACAACACTTCCGCACTGAATACTTAAGCCTGCCAAGCTTTAATTTCTGTGATATGAAGCAAATGAGCTCCTTTTGTCCAGTTGAACGGCCTCTAATTCCTGCTGGGATGAGTCACTTGGGAAGTGCCCTCCTCCCTGCACTGACTCACTGCAGCCCCACTGCCTCCCCTCGCTCTCATCTAAATGTCACTGTGGCACCCCGAGCTGCTATTCTGAGCTCCTGCCCAAATTCTGCCCGTGCTTTTACTTGGGAAGTGCCCTCCTCCCTGCACTGACTCACTGCAGCCCCACTGCCTCCCCTCGCTCTCATCTAAATGTCACTGTGGCACCCCGAGCTGCTATTCTGAGCTCCTGCCCAAATTCTGCCCATGCTTTTCAAAAAAAACCCCAAAAAACCACCCAAAAAGGGGCGAACAGCAGAGCTGCTGCAGTGGGCTCATGCTTTTCAAAAAAAACCCCAAAAAACCACCCAAAAAGGGGCGAACAGCAAAGTGCCGCGGTGGGCTTGGTGGGGATTGCTCTGAGGAGCATCTCTGGAGTAACCTTGGAGCAGAACAGCACAGCAGCTGGACTCTGCACGGGGTGGAACGTGCTTGGCACGCCTCACCTGGCCAGGTGTGCCAGGCTGGGACAGGACAGAGGACACAGAGCCCCTTCTGCACCAAATTCCAGCTCCAAA